TTGATTGCAATGCCCAGAATGAGTTGACTTGGACATAAAACAGCACAGCTGCGAAGAGAGTGGAAGAGTTGGCTCTCCCCACTCACTGCCTCAAACAAAGGAGCCCTCGAGCTTACGATGCATCCCTGACTCCTGTTAGCTCCCCAGTCCTGATCCCTGTTCTCCAGGAGGCCATATCTGCCATGGGCATGGCCCACAACCCCTTCATTAATCCCACAGGATTCAGCCCCAAATCCCTTCCCATTACAGCTTCTCCCCCAGGGCTCAGCCCCAAATCCCTTCCCATTACAGCCTCACCTATCACTCCAGCCTGAGAGCATACCTTTAATACTTTTCAATGGTTTGAAGGATACTTAAAGACTTGAAAGAGACTTAGAGAACATAGAGCGAAGCGAGGGAGAAGATCCATACCTCTAGCCCATGCCAACTTGCCACCCCTTCTGATTTCACCTCCCTTCGAGAAAGAAGATGCACACCACTAGAAACAGGGATGAAGAGGATGGGGGCGGAAGGATTCACCTACTCATGGGCTTCACCAGTCACCAAGAACAGATGGACATTGGGGATTTGGGAGTGCCACAAATGGTGTGCCACATTTAAATGGTTCCCGCAAAGAGATCTGTCTGCCTACACTCCCTCACCATCTTCAGCAGCAGCACAGAGCGTGTAAGTGTGGTTTGTGGCATCACCCATACAGCCACTGGTCCCCGATGACCTATTCACAAAGAACTCGAGCCCTTCCATGAGTAATAGGCAGGTTATGAGTGCTGTTTTTAAGAGGTCACCAGTGTCAAGCTTTCGTGTCAAGCTCTCAACACCTGCTTTGCTTGACTTAAGCCTTACAACATGTTTGACAGAACCTGTTACAGTAAATCCACCAAGACCAAGATGATCTTTGGGAATAGCATTCAGGGTTTGAGCCATCATTTGCTGACTGCCTGACCACAAGGGCCTGGCCCTCTTAGGTAGGGCATACAGGCTACTGGAAAAGGCCCCAGGAAAGGAGCTGAAAATCACCGCAATCCAGGACAACAGGAGCCGTGCAAGTGGCTGGCTTCTCAGGTTACTCAAGGAATTGTCCTATGTCGCCCGGCAGCCAGCCCGACACTACTGCCATCTCATCAAGAGAACCCACGGCCTTGGCAGTTGGCCTGGCTAGGGTCACTCTCTAATGAAACACAAGGGAAAGAATGGCTGCAAAACCAGACCCCACTCCAAATAGGTAGCTCCAAACCAAACAGGCAGTGCCAAACCCAATGGCACTTCTAACTGGCACTTGGACGCAATCACAAAATGACAGGTTTTCTGATGCCACAGAACCAAAGACGCAATAAGCCATACAGCCTCACCTGGGTGCTCTTCCAACAGCGAAGGGCTGAACAAATCGTATTTGACAAGGTAGCAAAGGCAGCAAGCCCCATTTTCCTCTTCCCTGGAATGGAAATAGCCAGCCACTCCTGTTGAGGAGCGTGTGTGCCCCAAACTACAGACACATTGGTTTAATCTAAAAGTTTACACAAAGCACAAATCAATGCACAGAAGGTGATTTGCTGCAGTAGAGCCCCCCCCCACCCCCCTTCTTCATCTCTTCAAATCCCAAAGATTCTTCGCTCCCAAAGAGAAGAATCTGGCTGCATTACTGAAAAGATGGTCCAAAAAGTCATCGTCCATCGAAAGTTGTAACCTCGATGGGTTGATGGGAAATGCCATTTGAAAGGACAAACAGCAATCTCCATGCCCTTTAAGCTGTATTTCTTTCAGCGGCACAAAAGCACTTACTACCTATTGCCAGTGACAATACTGTATTGTATTCTGGAATATTCTATGTAGTTATGATAGGCCGTGGGCATGAAACCCATCCTGATGGGATAGGAGGCTGATTTTAAACAAAGGGTAAGCTCTAAATAAGGATAGGAAATTCACTCAAGCTATTCCTACCTTTCTCCAATGTTTGACTTTACATAGCACTGTTCAAAAGAAAATATGTATATGTTCAAATTATCTATTAAATGGTCAATTCTATATCTCATGATAGCACAAAGAATGTTACTAATGAGTCTCTTAATTGCAATATTTTTTTTTTAAAAAAAACTCAAACCAGCCAATTTCAGGGCATCTGTAAATAATCAAACCGCTTCATATATATGGTCAACATAAACCAATTCCATTGGTTAGAGATATGAACAGACCTGGTATCCTTCATCCTTGACATGAAAAGGAGTCTAACATTCAGTCGTTTAAGAGTTTTAACCAGATTGAGTGGAGAAAGGACTAACTACTCTTCAGGATTCATAATTGTGGACTTGTTTTAAACTCAATTAACCAACAGAAAGGCACCAAAAGCAACCCCAGTCTTAACAAGCCAAAAGAATCTCATCTCTGCGGGAAAGTGAACGCCCTTCTTTAAAGTGGCCTCATAAAATCATTTTAATTTATTCTAATTACAGCCACGATTCCAAATGCTAATTGCACAATTCCTACAGAGAAGTATGGAGTTTCGAATGTGGCAAGTCAACATCAGAAAATGTTATGACATATGCCTAGTAAAAACGCTCATTAATTGAGTTAGAGACACCTGTTCTCATGTTTCCAGACTAGCTCATCCATTCAAGACACGTGGAAATTATAGTCTTTGGACCAAACCAAAATCCATGGCTATTGAGTGGATTCTGACTCATAGCTGCCAGATGAGGGTTTCTGAGGCTGTAAATCTGTGTGGGAACAGAAAGTCTCATCTTTCTCCAAGAGAGCGGCGGTCCAACACTAACCACAGAACCAAATCATATTCACTGCCAAATCGAGTGGATTCTGACTCACAGCTACCGTATCGGACAGGATAGAACTGTCCTTGTGAGCTTCTGAGACTGGAACTCTTTCTCTGGAGGAATGGCTGGTGGTTAGAAGGCCACCACTGTTACGGTTCTTATTTTGAAGGGCAGTAACTATTTTGTGAATGAGTTGAATCCCAGGGACATCTACCCCTCAAAGGTACCCTGGAATAAACTTTGAAAGCTGGAAATCAGGAAACGAAGTGCCACATAAGCAAACTTGAAATCCTCCCAGTAGTGGTTCCACCTGCCTAGGTAGATGATTGTTGTTGTTGTATGTCCGCCAGTCCGTTTGTTTCCACTCATAGTCATCCTCTATGATGGAGCAGACTGCCCTATGAGCTGAATGCCTTAAGGAAGTCAATTGCCATCTCTTTCTCCCAAGTGGATTTGAACCACTGATCATTTGGTTAGTAGTGGAGTGCTTAGTCCTTGCACCACCAAGGATGTCTAGATTGACTCGGTGCTACAACGTAACTGTCTACGTCATTTACTCATCTGAATCCTCACTAGCACATCAAACCTGGATGGACCCTGAAGCCATTTCCCCTTCCACTCCTCTAACTGCAAGTTTAAGACACTCTCCAATTCACAAAGTCCTGATCTACTTTCCCAAGTCCCAGCCTCCATTAACCTATGCTCCTCCCTCGGCCAGCAGTTGTGAGTGGGTCCTAGGGGTATGGGGGGAGGGGGGAGGGAAGTTGAGCTGGAGCCTTGAGCCAAGTCAGAGCCAAGTTAGGGCAATAGATTTAAGAAGCTTCCCACCCCCATCCCCCACGCCCACTATAACTTCACCAGCCTTTCTGTCCCTTCCACCTGGTAGGAACAGAAACTGCTCCCTTTAGAAAGAAGGATAAAGGCCCAGAGCTGAAGTCTTTGATAACTTCCTGTGGGGGAGGGCTGGCGATGCCCTAGAATCTCCCAGGAAAGAGAACAATGAGAGGGGGACCAGAGGGGAAGAAGCTGGCAAGGAGGAGATGAGCAAAAAGAATTAGGAGAGGGGTGGAAGGAAGGGGGTCTGAGGGCTCAGGGAGGTGCCAGGGCCCCACAGAGAAAAACCTTCTGCAGAGTGAGCTTGGTCTGCGTTGTGGCTCTCTCAGGGCTGGCCCATCCCACTCCTGGATGGACTAGGTGGTCATCCAGGACACAGGCACCCAAGGCACTTGCTGTCCCTCCTCCGCTCTTCCACACCCCCTCTCTGCAACTCTCTGGCCAGTTTCTGGCCTGGAGCTAAGCAGGATTCTAGCAAGGCAAAGTCTAAGACTGGCAGGTGGGGGAGGCCCCTGTTGGGGTCTGAGTTCTCCCTAAGGCTGAGCCCCACTCTGCTGCGCCTCCCTAATCTGACGGTGGGTGGGCCCAGGTCGAGACACGCCCTCCAGGAGACTGGTGGACCAGCACCCCGGGCCTGGGGGCTGGAGCTCTGCCAGTGGAGCGAGGGGTCCTGGCCCTGGGGGCCTTCACCAGCTCCCGCAGTGGCCAAGGGTGGCAAAGGGACAGCAGCCTTTGTTCTCCCGGGGCTTGGCTAGGCTGCGCTGGCGAGGTGCATCGCCAGCGACGCCAAGGCGCCTGGATTGCTCACTTATGCACGCAGCGTGTCGAAGGGTGCATGCTCCTGCACCCTTCGTGGGGGTAGGGAGTTGGAGGGCAGGGGTGCAAGAGAGAAAGAAGCGTGGAGGTGGGGTTCCGCTCCTGGGCCAGGCTCTTTGTTTGCATTGGGGGCGGGGAGAGGGGTGGAAGGTGGGCTCCAGCTAGGGTTTGGCGAGCAGGGCAGCTTCCTGAGTATGTCACCATGTTGCACCGCACAGCACACAGAGGCACAGCGCACACACGCGCGCACACACACATACACACACGCGCGCCCGCGTACACACACACTCGCACGGACCGCGGCCGGTCGGTGGCAGGCGGCGCGGTGCCCTGCGCTCTGGGCTGCAGCAGCTTAGGCTGCCCGCAGCGCCACCACCGCGCGCCCAGAGGGGGAGTGGAGGAGGCTGGAGGCACTCGCGGGGCGACGGCTCGGCGAGGACAGAGGGCAAGTGGTGCCCACCCAGACCCTCCCAGACGCTCGGGCCTTGGCCCCTGCCGGCCGGGGTCGCCGAGGTCACTAGCTTAGGCGCGGGCGGTCGGCAGGGCGCCGCGGGAGGAAGGCGGCGGGCTCTGCGGCGGGCTTACCCTTAGAAACATCTTTCTCCTCTTTAGGCTTGGTCACCTTTCCACTCATAGATCCCAGCTTGCTTGACAAGGGTCGCCCAGGAGACGGAAGTCCTCGCCGAGCGGCGCCGGACTGGGGAGAGCGCTTCGGGCGGCAAGTGGCGAGCGAGAGCTCCCCTCCGTGTGGCTCGGCCGGAACCCGCGTTTCCCCGCCGCCGCCGC